TCCTTTATGATCACTATATATGAGATATAAGTATGACTACAAGAAATCAATGAAATAGCAAAGGGAATTTCTATAGCCAGAAGAGATAATCCGTAGCAAAAAAATGAATAGCGACGGATGGGGACGGATGAAAGCGGTGGCGTCAGTGTCCACGCTAAATGTAAGTCGTCACCGATCTATAGTTAGATTGCAACGGATTTGCGACAACAATGGTCGTAGCTAATAGCAACAGCGTGGCCACCTCAGTCTCAGAGGCACAGCCAGAGCCAATCTCGGAATCAGAGCTAGAGCCAGAGCCAGTCTCGGCAGAGGCAATCTGAATGGCAATCTCACAGGCACGGGTATATGCAACCTCATCTGAGAGGCACGAGGGAAACATCGGTATGATGGCACGCTTCACAGCAATGTAGTGACTCACTCTTGCTTCTTCCACACGTAACTCACTCTCCATAGCGCTTGTTACCTGTGCCACGCTAAATGTAAGTCGTCACCGATCTGTAGCTAGATTGCAACAGATTTGCGACAACAATGGTCGTAGCTAATAACAACATCATGGCCACCGAATTTTCCGTTGCTTATCAGCGACGTTTTTGGCTAAGGATTTCTATATCTAATAGCTACAATATTTAACTACAATCTATCCTTAGCAAATTTGTAGCAGATATATATAGCTACGGATTTGATTATACATGGTGGATTCCAATACAGAAACAGACATAGCTTTTGGTATGTCATGGTAGAATAATTTATAAACTCTGAACGTTGTTTACAATATAAAATAAGACCATAGTATTATAACCAAAATCTCGATATCAAACTTCTTATACACAAGCAAAAATCTAAAGCTGAGATATAAAATTAAAGACAATAAAAGTTTAAAATGTTTTGTGGAGATTTTGAGATGGATTAGCTGCCACTTCAAATCAGAGAGAAGCATGGACTGCAGAGAGGACCAATGACGGTGGAGGAGTAGAGAAAATTGGACTGCGGATAAGCCGAGAGGAGACTGGACAGAGACCACTAAAGAAACGAACGGAGATGAGACTAGACTACCACACTGACTCGCACCACTGGAGAGGAAGAGACCAACGAGAAGATGACTGGAGGGGAGACACACCTTACAAAAAGGGAGAAGAAATATCAGATGTAGATCGTAGAGGAGAAATAATAGATGAAGATATTACAGATCTGGAGAAGAAATAGGAGAGAAAGAGAAACAAAAGAAATAAGGCGATAGAGATAAGAGATCGATAGATCTGAAGAAATAGGAGGAAAAGAAAACAGTATTAAAATGCAAAACATTTTATCCGTTAGATCCAACTTTATCAGTGGTTGAGATTAAGTGTTAGGCTATCCTCGCCTTGTTACACTAGAGGCCAATACTAATCCACCTTCTATTTTTAAGCTTATATATGATGATGGATTTATTTGTACACATAAACAATTTATATAGCTTGGTATATAGTTATGATTGAATGACAATAACTAAAAAAATTAAGTCTAAGGATTAAATATATGATTCAATTAAGTTTTAGAATTTTGGGAATATTGTTTTGAGGTTTGGGTTTTGGGTTTGGGGTTTAGGGTTTAAGATAAAATTTATGGTTAAGGTTTTCAAAAATAAAATTTTAGATTTAGATTAAAATGACTAGATTTATTTTTTTATATAAATTTTAAGGGTTACACTTTATAATTAAAACTTGATATTAATATTTGAAAATAGATTTATAAACTTATAACTTTTTTTATAAAGAGTAAATCTTAGTTTAGTTGTATTATAGTACTTTGTCTTTTGATTTTTTTTTTAAACTTTTTTTGACTTTGGGGTTTAAGTTTTGTGTGTTAAAACTTATGGTTTAGAGTTTAAATATCGTATTTAAGTTTGTGTGTATTAATTTTTTTTTTCATTTATCGCAATAGCATATCTCTAGCTAATATATCGCTAATTAGCTACATAATATCTACGAAATCAATCTTTAACTATATAGTTACGGATTGCTACAATTTAGCTACATAAATAAAAATTATGTGTTCTATCGCTATCTTTTGCCATTTCTGTAGCTAATATTTTTGGCTACGAAAATTATTTCGCTAGTCTATAGCTATTTTGGTGAATTCTTTTAGTGTATGTTTATTCTCCTTTATCATCATTAGATGTTTATTTCACAGAATTTTGACTCATTAGCTTTCAATGATTTATCTTCATTGCCATAATCAAATGATGTTTTGTCTCCTATATCATTTTTCTCATATTCATAACTTTCTTCCAAAATCCATAAGCATCAGTCAGTTTCTTTAAAACTACTCATTAGAAACCCCAAATTATATAACTCTGCATGTTATTTTTGAAAACCAACATATGTCATCTTGGTTAGATATTTATTTTATTGAATCAAGACATAAAAGAAGTATGAGGAATCCAAGATAAAGAAGAAGAGAGAAACTTACATGTAAAAGTTAAATGAAGGGGAATTTTGAATTTATATATGATGAATAGTAGCTAAATTATCTCAATAACAAATCACACATTTCAAAAAAATGACTACAAAACTGTTTTTTCTTTTGTGTAAACGACTCTTATAAAAAAAATTTGAAATTAGAAACACAAACTCTAGCAATTATAAGAACTCGACTGTAAAATACATATTGAGATTGCTATGATTATGAAAGAATTCACAAGCTAAGTAACTCAAAAACAATAATAATAAGACAAAATAATGAATATGATAAACATCTAAGTAAATATATAAACAATTGGAATCTTAGGATTTGACATTTTATCACTCAATAAAAATGATAAAAGGTTGAGCATATTATTTTTAACATCATTATGAAAATAAATTGTCGAAATCTTCTTAGTACAACGTTTGGAGTTACTTATTGACACAACTAGAAGAATATAGTAGTTGTTTAAAAGATAGATCTACTTTATTAAAACAGAATCATACATTTGGTTCTAACATTTATTTTGTAAGTTTTTAAATTAATTACACATTTCTACTTTATAGTTAAACCAATCTTAAACACTAATATTATTATTATCCATATTTCTAAATAACACTATAATTAATATTGTGTCCAAACAATATAGAACATTAGATCTCATTTTTTTAACAAATTTTCTTTCAAATTATGTCGATAAATTAAATAATTTTAATTTTATTTTATTTTTTAAAAACAAAAGTAAATAAAACTCTTTTTATAGGTTTAGATACTACAAGAATATTTCAATCAATAACAAATCAACTAAATTAATGGATTATTTTATTTATATTTCACAAATAATGATTCTATCAATTATTCAAGTAACATAATAATTCAATAATAGACATAACATAATATATATATACATATATATAATATATTTCGAAAATAAATAAATTGTACAATAAATATAAGAATAAAAATAAGTGTGAAAATTTTCAAAATAAATATTATCTGAAAAATGCTTAACACTAATTGTAAACAACAAAGTTATATTAACTCTAATATGAACCAAATTACTAGAAATATAAATTACACAAATAGTTATATTTACCTTATTAAAACAGAATCATACTTTCGGACCTAACCACTCTTTGTATTTATTTTTTAAAAATTAAATACACATTTTACTTTATAATAAACCTACCTTAAATCACTAATACTATTTTCTTTATATTAGTATCCATGTTTCTAAAAAAACTACAATTAATATTGTGGTCAAACAATATAATACATTACATCCTATCTTTTTAATAATTTTTTAAAAACAATTTCTTTCAAATTATTTTGATAAATTAAATAAATTTATGGAAACAAGGAAAGTAAATAACTTATTTTTATAGGTTTAGATAATACAAAAAGATTCCAATCAATAACAAATCAACTAAATTAATGGATTATTTTATTTATATTTCATAAATAGTGGTAGCGTCATTTATTTAAGTAACATAATAATTCAATAATAACCATTACATAATATATATATATTGATTTATGTTTTTCATATCATCATTATATATTTTAGATGTATCACCATGTTTTTAATGTGGTTGTATCGCATTATTAATTTTTTTTATATAAATTTATATTTTCTTTTTCATTTTAAGTGTTCTATAGTTTTATATTTATAAATCATGTTGTATGATGTAAATATTATTATTTGATTACGTGAATATTACTGGTAGTTGTATCTTATATATCTTATAACTATTTATCATACTGAAACATTTATTTTTTAGTAAATATTAATATGTAATAAATTTTAACGATTTTATATTGACAAAATCTATTTTATACAAGTGAATTTTATGTTTTTACATAAATAAATAATTCCTTACTAGCAATATGAAATATATTTTCTCAAATCATTTTTTTTTAAAATATAATAATCACCATCTTAATAAAATGAAATTATAATTATGATTTGGGTTGAATCGTTATAAATGTGATTTAGACCAATTTTTGTCCGAAAAGTTTATCAACGTTTCATTCAAGCTATCTCGTGGCTCATAAAGTATAAAACTCACACGAAACATGAATGATTATTAAAATGACAATAGCTGGGATATGGAAGAAAATTTCAGTATTGGTCTAGTTCTTATCTTTGAATCAAGTGTTAATACTTTATGCCATGGTCTTAAGGAAGTACTTTGATGAAGGCATCTATTACTGCCACTGATGATGAGTTTAATACGACGACGGACTTGGTTGTCCCTCCCTGCATTGAGATTATGTAGGGACTCCAGCCTTTGTACGATCTGGCATTCGACATGAGACATATATATGTTATCCAAGTGAATCAAGTAAAGAAATGTAACAACACAAGCTGACCACAAGCAAGATGATGTTAAAATAGTAGTAAGGTTGCATCTTCCGGATTATCTTTTGAGTGAGGCAAAAGAAAAACTAACATTAGACAGTAGTAACCAATGTTTTCAAATTCTGAAAAATTACAATCCAAACTATATATGTAGAAATGCTTGTATTTCATACACACAATATATTTAAAAAAATACAAAAAAAAAAAAAAAACCAAAGCAACAGAAACAAAGCATTCAAGAAAATGGACGAAGGCTTTTAAAAAGACAAATCTCTGGTTTTATGGAATGTCCTTAAGCTCAAGCTCAGATTTGTCTTTCTCGTTATCCTTCTCCTTCTCCACTGACTCATCAACCCCAACACTAATCATATCAGCTTTATACTGATGCTTCATCGCAAACACAATAAAAACCAAGAAATTAAAAGCTCCCAAGACAACAAGCAACCAGTAGAAGTAATTCAGTCTCCCTTTGTTAAGGTTGCTTCTAAGCCAGCTCTTGTGCGTAACCTTATCAACAAGAGAAACAAGCAAGCTGCTCACAAAGAATCCCATCGAAATCGTGCTTAAAAACAACCCGGTGCTCATCGATTTCATCCTCTCTGGTGCTTCTCTTATAAAGAACTCAAGCTGTCCAACGTAAGCAAACGCTTCACCCGCACCAACCAAGAAATACTGTGGAATCAACCAGAACGCACTTATCTTAAAACCGTTGGTAACCTCTGCCTCGCGTCTAGCGTTCTCTATAACCGCTGCTACCGCCATTGCAGCCATTGACAACACAAGCCCTACTCCTATTCTCTGAAGGCTGGTGATTCCTTGAGGTTTCTTTGTGACCATTCTTGCTAAAGGCACAAAGAATCTCTCGTTAAGGGAAGTGAAGAGGAGAATGGTGAGGATGAGAAAGGCAGAGTAGGACCCTGCAGGAACCGTGAAAGACCCGAGTTTACGCTCCATAAACGTGGCTTGTTCCACCGTGAAAGTCGTCATCTGAGAGTAAATCGTCCAGAAGAGAATGTTTGTTGCCCAAATGGGAATCAGTTTCACAACAAGTTTCACTTCCTCGACCTGTGTAACGGTCGATACCATCCATGAATCCTTCTCTTTGAACTCCTTGGTACTAGGAGAGCTCTCTTTTGTTACAACCGCGGCTTTGTCTAAACACTTTAACCTCTCAGTATGAGGAACCGTTGTGTTGTCATAACCGTTTAAAAGACTCTGGTGCGAAGGGTAACTTTCCTTTCTTTTCTTCCACGCCAAGAAACAAACCCTCCATATAACAGTAAAAGGACTTCCCTTAGGTTTCTTGAAACGGTACAGCTTCGTTCCGCAGAGCAAAACCACGGCTGCGATCACCATAGTCGCGGCCGAGATCCCGTAGCCCCAGCCTCTTCCCACGTTGTCCTGGACGTAAACCAGGACAATCACGGCGAAGAGAGACCCTAGACTGATGGAGAAATAGAATCTGTTGAAGAAGAAAATCATCTGCTTCTCTTCTTTAGGGTCACTCGTGTCGAACTGGTCAGACCCGAAGCCGGATACGTTGGATTTGATTCCTCCTCCTCCTAGAGCTATGGTGTAGAGAGCCACGTAGAGAAGAGCTAGCTGGTGACCGTTTGCTTCAACGCACTGATGGTGAAGTCTCCTGAAATCGTCACATGGTGGTGGTCTCATGCTTGGGATGGTTGTTGCCACAGTCAACAGCAACACTCCCTGTTTTCACAGAGATAAAGAATCAGAGGAAGAAGACATTTCTCGAGACGCTCGAGTTACAAAGACGTGGTTTAGGGTTGTACCAGAGCTGTGACAGAGGCTGAGATTGCGACCATCTTGTAGCGACCGAGTTTAGCATCAGCCAAGAAACCACCAAGAAGTCCTAAGAGGTTGAGAGTTCCCATGAAGTTTGTGACTATGGTTGCAGATTTTGCTGATGAGATGTGTAAATCTCCGACAAGGTACGTCACAAGGTTCATTGATATACCCATCACGCATATTCTCTCCGATAGCTCGCTCCCTTCACGTTTAGGTCAAAGAAACAAAACAGAAAAGCTTAGAAACAGAGGATTTTTAGTAGTTAAAAGAAAAAAAAGACAGAGCTTAGAAACAGAGTAAGTTTGTGACATGGAGACTTGAGATTGTACCTAAGATTAAACCGGCGCCTAACCATCCACCGGTTTTGGACTTATCCGGTGGGTTTCCTCTGTAGTCGAAGGCTTCTTCCGAGCCATCTTTCGCTCCGTGGGATGAGACATGAACCTTATGAGACAAGCAAAACCATTAAGACAGAAAAGCAGAGCCAAGAAAAAAACAAAGAGAAAGAACTAAAACTCACCATTGCTTATTGAGCACTTAAGAGAATGTGAGAGAGAAGAAATGGTAGTAGGGTGGTTTATAAGGACAGATGTTGAAGATGGTGGAGGTTATAGTGATAAGGGTTTTGACGCTTTTGTGTGTCCTTTGATTCTATCTAAGTCCAACAAAACAAAAGAAGAAAGGAGAGGAGATTCGATTCAGTGGACATGTGAAGATAAATATGAGGTTGATTGGGTCTTTTTCAAAATGTGGCTTTGCTTTAATGTGTGGTTCTTCCTGGATGATCAGATCTAAACAAACACATACGCTAGAGACAACAGTGTGATTTCACTATCTTGTGACAATGACGTTTGTTTATTTCATGTGGTTGCAAGGTTTTCAGCTTCTTTGTAATTCCCCATGTCGACCCCCTCAATTACTCTGTTTTGTCCTTTTATACCCTTTTCTTGTGGTTGCCCATGTCCTCTTCTCCCTTCAACAAATCTCTTAATCATTAAACCAAACATTCATACAATTACCTACCATTCACATTGCTTTTCGTTATAAAGATTTTACACTTGGTAACATATCAATCTGTTGTTTGTATGTGTACTTGTGAACAAACATGAATTAAATACGAAGAAAACAAGAACACTTAAAGATAAAACACTATTTTTTTTTTGAATTACTCGTTGTAATGTTTTTATATTTGATTTATGTGAAAGATTATCTACAACTCATTAGACTCGTATTTTATATAAACTCCAAACCTGATATTATTATTTTTACTTCCAGGAAACATTTTGTCTATTGAAAATGGATTTGCCTAATCCTAAAATGTATATTGTACCGTGAGAATTTTAAATGTCTATCTTGATAACAAGTGCTTTTTACTGATGCCTAAGATTTAAGTCACTTTCCGAATCAACAATACCAAATAATTGTATCCATCGATCAATAATCTGATATTTCTTGCTGAATGCATAACAGGTGACGAAATTAATATGCATGTTATCTTGTATTTGGACCATTGTGACTCGTTAAGCATCTTAGTAGTACTATCATTTCAATACACATGGTTCAAAAACTTGCACATGTTCAATGATTTAGCGGGTATTCTTATTTGATTTGACTACAGATCTTGCCGTGGACCAAAATCTCGTGAGCCAATTTGTACTTGACTTAAAAAAACATGTAAGTTAAATTGGCTAGAACCAAACGACCAATCGAAACCCAAAAAGCCAATGTTGTTCTATGTTTTGCAGCTCGATCTGCGCAAAAATTATTATCAGTGACCCTTTGTCAATAAAAAAAGTAAGAATCAAAACATTGTTAAATCATGTTCGGACTCAATAAATTTTGTCGAGCTAGGGATTTATGATCAACTGATCACAGTATCTTAACCAGCACTGTTATGTTTTGTATAACATGTTGTATCATTTGGAACTCGGCCTCCGATGGACTTGATTTTCTGTTTCTCATGTTTGTAAGAATAAGATCTACAATGAGAAACATACACTATATTTCAGGTGACGCATCTACAAGCAAAGCGAGAGGTGTAAAGTACAAAACATTTGAACCCTTTAAGTAACAAAAATATTATATTCGAAAGTGACTAAATAAAGGTGAATTGATAGGTTAAATAGTCACCGAAATGGAGGAAGATATTTACTTAGGGAGAGAGAAATTATTAAAAAGCTGCACAAGTTGATGGGTTTGATTCCTCTAACTTGAAATGATGTTAGCAACATTACTCAAAATAAGCTTTTTAAGTAAAAATTAATTATAAATTTGCCCCAATGGTTAAGGTAAAGTAAAAGTTTAAGATACAATACTACTACAAGTTGCATCCTCTCTTTGTGAACGTCATGATGATTTTTTTACCATACACTAGGAATCTCTCTTCATAAACTTTATCATTGGCCCTACTAAATTAGTAATGTATCAACATCAATACAACAAATAATATAAGTTGTAATATATAACAAAATGAGATAACTTTCTCGATAATTTCCGAGCTGAATTATCTTCTAGAAACCAAAGGATGCTGGATTCTATGGGCTATATATTCAAATCATTTAGATACATTTTTGAGTAACTTTTTCCTCGCAGATATCAGCTAACAAGAGTTTGATATCTCTAAAATATATATAAGTTCTAAAAAAAGAAAAAAAAAGTACAATACTTTAGTTACTTACACTTGATAGAGTGTATTGCTTGTTCCATGTTCTTGTAATAGATGCCGGAATTCAAAAAACCTGTACTCTTCTATAGTTATTTTGATATTCGAATTTAGGTTTATTGGGTTAGTTAAGTTTTTTTTTTGAACTAAGGTTAGTTAAGCTCTTGAGATGATTAGGGTGTTATCTTTCCAAACGTTTCTACACTTTCTCCAACCTTTTGGAAAAGTGTTAGTGATTCTAATCAAGATTTCATTATTTTATTTTATATTATTTTATATTTTTTCCTACCAAAAAAAAAGATTTCATTATTTTATGTTTTAACATGCAATTATTAAGGTTATGTGGGTCAATCGCACTACCTATAGCCAAACCATAGACAGTTCAACACGTACGTAGTCATATAGTAGAATCAGATATGTTTTACTAACTCTGTAGGATATTCTTAAGATTTGATATTTTCTTTGCCACAACGTTATATAATAATATGTTTTGTATATTTATCATCCTATTTCATTTCAATTATACGATAAGTTATATTAATCCAATGTAAAAGATATGAGTAAATCCAATCATTATCAAGTGGTCTAAGTTAGAATTTTGTAAATCATAACATGATACCAATGTAGAGTGCGAACAAAAAACATTCTTATTTATTAATTAAAAAGCATTACAATATGTCTTTGTACTCATATGTCATCATGAGAATGTTTCTTAAATTTACTAAAGAAAAAATGTTGGTCCATAAACGTATATATATTTTCTATTAAAATAAGCATAAAACTATTATTAATGCTAATCATTATTTCTTTAAATAAAATTTAAGGATTTACCTAATATGATTATAATATAAAATCATTATTTCTTTAAATAAAATTTACAGAATTACCTAATATGGTTATAATATATATATGAAAATTAATGATTTGAATATGAAAAATTTGATAAAAAAAATTGTAGTCTCTATTCTTTTTGTTAAATTTATATTGTGAAAATAAATTAAACAATAAAATTAACTATATAACAAAAATATTAGATTTGTTATATATATATATATTATATTTTGAATTCTAAAAAACGACTATAAATTAATAAAAATTAAAATTTTCACACATAATATTTTGATTAATAGTTTATTTTTTTTTGCTATAGCACGATACAAACAATTATATAATTAATGAGCAAGAAATATCACTTAATAGATATTTAAATTATATATATATATTTTTAGTGATGTTTAAGTTAAACTAAATACCATTTGAAAATACATAAATGTTTAATTCCAACATTGTATTGAACAAGTATTAAGAACTTAATATTTTAATGACAAACTTTGAATTTTTTTTTAACGATGATAAATTACTGTAAATATTAAATCTCTCGCATTAAAAATGATGTTATCAATATTTTAAAATTTTTGTTATAAAAATATACAAATGATCATAAAACCATATAAGTGTAAAACTTCATTTATTAGATATCCAAATTAAAAGTATTATATATATATATATGTTAATATCATTTATTAATTAGATTTACTAATTATATAAAGCAATGGTAAATAAATAAATATGATTATTTTATTTAATCGCTCGCTAAATTAATTGTATATATAATAGTTATAGATTTTTTAATTATTTTAAATATACTTATTATTTTATAATATATAAAAGAACACAAAATAAAGAATAAGACATAAAATAATTTTTGTATATAATTCTCATCCCGCACAACTGCGCGGATATTAACCAAGTTTATTATTATTCGAACCAATGCAAATAGAAGTCAACGAATATGATCTCTATAGTGAAATATTATCAAAAAGATACAACTCAAAATTATCACATTAACTTTTCTTAGAAAAAAATCACGTATATAGAGAAAGCACGCTAGAATATCATGTTGTTTATATATTAGATTCACTCTATGAGTGAATTCAAAATCATATTGTAGTACTTTCTTTTGATTTTTTTAATAAAATAATAAAAATGTGCTATTGTAGTCTTCATATATATACGTTTTTTTTTTTTATAATTTATCTTTAAGGAAATGTGTGTTGGTTTACTAAACTATTTTTTATAACAGAAACGATATTGCAGTCTACATAGAACTATAAGACTGAATTAGTTTATACTAGGATAAGACCCGCGCCTTGCGCGTGATGAAGCTATTATTTTTATTATGTTTTGAAAAATGAAATAATAGTTCGGTTTCATTCGGATTATAGGTGTTCAATCCGGATATCGGGTTTCGGTTCGGCTCGATTTTTTGATATTTCGATTATTAAAATATAACTACTATTCTAATTCTATATGTACTTCAGTTTGATTTGGTTTATATACCATCGATTTTCAGTTTATTCAATTTTATACCAAAAAACATAATTATTTAGTTTGAGATCATATTATATATTATACAAATATGTAATATGATCATATTTAGAGTCATATTATCACAGAGTCATTTATTAAAAATAATATATATTTAAATAAAAGAATAAAAAACTAAAAAAGCTTCTATCATCTAATAAAATGATCAAATCTAGAATTAATATCAAAACACTAAATTTTGAAAATAAAAATAAAAAACAAAACAGAAGCATGAAAGAAAAGTTTTTATATTCTTCTATATTTAGTGTTCATCAAACCAATATGTCTTCAATTGAACACAACTCTGTTTGTTTAAAGATAAAAAAAAGTTGTAAAGAATTTCAACTAATTGTTGTCCATCAAATTTATAATCTTTACTTCAATTTAGTTACTGTTAAAAAAGCAAAAGATTAAAATAAGAAGTCTCAGTTGTAATAAATTGTTAGCTATTTACAAATTATAATTATAGTTCAACTCATGTAACAAATAGATATTCATGCGTCGTTATAAATATATACATATTTACATGTTTCAGTGTAATCGGTTATAAATCAAACCATATCCAAATCCTATGGTTTTTATAAAATCACATCCATTCGGTTTGTATGGTATATACCAAAAATAACCATATTATCGATTGTTAATATCTTCTAAAAAATATAAAATTAAAAAAAGAACTAAGATATTTAAATCATTG